GAAAAAAAGAAAAAAAAAAAAAAAAAGGTAAAGAATGCACTTACGTGTGTCTCTCTCTTGCTGACACTCTTCCATTTGCTGGGTAATTTGCTTGATTTCAACATCTAGCTCGCGTTTGTCCTCCCGAATCTGTTTCTTTTGCGATTTCAACGCGGCAAGAGTCTGTTCTATCTCCTGTTCCGTCAGTGGAGTCTGCTCCTCGGTTGGCTGAGAGTTTTCCTTATCGCTCCAGTCTGAAACCGAGTCTTCTGAATCATCAGTATCAGAAGAGGCATGATTTTTGCGGCTCTTGGATGATGTGTTCTGTCGCTTGCGCTTCTTGTTGTTCGACTTCTCAGCAGGTGCGTAGACTGTCTCGCCCTCAGATGCCTTGGTTCGAAGGTCATCCCAAATGTCCCATTTGGTTTCAATATCCTCAATCGTTTCATTATAGCCGCGCTTCTTTGCTCTCAAGTCAACAACTTTCTTCTTCAATCTCTCTTTGGTGCGTTTGAGATCTTCAGAACGCTCGTAAGACTCGGAAATCTCCTCGTCTATGCCTAAACTCTCTGAAGCCTCGAGGACTGAGATGTCGTCTGTTTTGGAGCATATAAACGTGACTGCAGAATAAGTTCCGTCAAACTTGAGCTGGCGCTTGAACGAATCGCCCAGAAGTGTCTTGGCTGTCTTGTCGTCCACCGCGCGATTGATGGGTGCCACAATCCACAGTCCGGTGCAGGCTTTCATGTAGTTTGCCGCCACAGCTGCTCGGGCTGCGTTGGAATCTTGAACACCCGGCTAGAATGATACAGCCATTAGCATTGTTTTCTTCAACCAGGTCGATCCTGGGCAAAAGTCTTGAGGATTTGATTGTAATTACTAAATACTCCACGAACGAGAGCGCATGTGAATTTGAACCACCATCCTAGAGTTGAAGACAAGTATGAGACTTACCAAATCTACAATGACAGCCCCGGTCGAAAGGGCAGTGGCCTTTGTATAGATCCTGACAACCTTGATCAAGGGCCAGTATTCCATGGGCTGGTCTTTGCGGTTTCTATCACCTCGCTCCTTCTCCTTGCTGTCCACATAATGCTGCATTCTTCGAAAGAGATCCTTGGACGTTGTCTCGGTAAGCTTCTTTGTTGTTCCCAGGACACGAGACACAGCACCGTCAGCCGCAAAGCGCTCTGGGGTTCCAGTGGCCAGCATTTCTTTCGTCTTGTTGGGATAGACGGCTGTCAACTTGGCATACGCAACTCCCGCATCGCTGTCGCTGTTGTTGCAATCGCGTGAGACCTCGCCATTGCCGTCTAGCAGGTCCTTGAAGAGAACTCCAAGCTCACGAATCCAGTCCTGCTTCGAGATGAACTCTATTTCAGCGCGGTAGAGTTCATCGGGGTTCACTGAGTAGTTGTAGGAAATCTCGGTGGGGGAAGCTGTGCAGGCTCTCATACAATTGGTTGGAAGTAGGCGTTCTTCATCCAGGAGAGCATTAATGACGCTGCTCTTGCCAGCGCCGGTGTTGCCGACGACTCCAACAATGGTCTTTGCGGGCTTGGCACGCTCTCTAAGGTCTTTGATGGACTTGACCCATGCCTTGATGTCGTCGTTGTCCGAGGTCAGAGTGGAAAGCAGCCCGTCTAGTACCTGGACGCCAACCTTGACGCCTGCTTCGAGAGTCTCTGGATTATTCAAGGCAACGATTTGCTGAAGATAATTGGTCTGAGATGAATCGTCGAGGTCATCCTTGTCGGGCTTTTTATCCGGCATAGAAGCGCTGTCTATGCTAGGCTCGGGCTTTGGGTAAAGCATCGGCTGAGCTGAAGTCCGTGAGGGTGATGCTCCGCGACTAGGTGCAGACACCAGTGGTGTGGCCACTACCGGTTCCGTCTTCACATGGGAGCCAGCAGGAGGAGTGGGAAGAGCTGGCATGCACGTCGAGGCAGACCCTGGCAAGACATTTTCCCGGCCAGGTTCCGGCTTCACGGCGACAGTAGAAGTTTGCCTGACCACAGCCGGGCCCGGCGGGTAATCCTCATCCATCCTGGGCGGTCTTCACGACTGGAAAGGTAGAGAATTTGACTGATTCAATGAATTGTGGGGGGCCACATTGATTGCGTGAGACGGAAAAGGGCCAGAAGGGGGTGTACCGATAATTCGTACCTCGCGCGTGGAGGGTTTTGGGTGGTGGTGAGGTCTTCCGCCAATATGTGGTTAGCCGAAGAATTATAGGGCAGTGAGACAGGCTACGGCCAATTGTACTCGTGCTTTCCACGAACCAGGCCAATCTGAGGTTGGATTATGAATTGTCAGGTGTTTAACAAGACTGGCCCAACCATGAGGCATGTGTGTGACTAAGTGTAATGGTTGAAATACGGCCAACTTGCTGTTTGTGCTTAACGCGTCTGGGCGGAAACTACGCATTTTAGAAACTACGCGTCGAGATCTGGGGAAGCAACGGGGTCGTTTAAACCCCCCACTTGGCGCGTTTTCTTCTAAAGATTAGTCGGAGGGACGCTGGTACAGAGTACGCCCGCCAGGCCCCACCGTACACAAAGGTGGAACACTTCATACTAGTATTATACTCTATCTACCGTACATACACCTAGGTACACCTCGAACGAAAGACAGAGAGAGCATCAGTCCATTATGATAATCAGCTATATATGTACGCATGTAGATGGAGAGTTGGAAAGTGACATTTCTCTTCTCATTTTTTTATCAATCATTCAATCGTGGCAAGTATGAAATATCGCTAGCCAAACAAGTCCCAGTAGCGCCTCATAACTTGACTTGAGTAAATGCACGAATACCACACATGGGCACCCACGCTTATATTCACATTCTTATTCCATCTCATTGTCGTGGGCAGAGACTCTCATTTCCCTCGCCAAATATAATAATGACTTGCCACGATAGCACATGTTATTCATGACGCACACCACACAGGCTATATTGAGTGCGCTTGGAGCAGTCAGTCGGTAGATGATTCATCTTCGTGGAGAGTATGATGACACGGAGGAGTTTGAACTGCTTCCGCGTCCACGCTTCATGGCTCCGAGCTCCACGCCTCTGCCGTCACGCCTGGTGTAGATCGGTCCGCCATTGATTGGCTCGGACGAGTACGGCGAGCGCGGGTCGCGGCCGCCCAGCCTCCTCCCACCGGCACCGGCAGCGGCTGCGGTAGGCACAGCATTGCTGCGGCGTCTACGCTCGCCAATGACGGCTGCAGCGACCCACGTAAGCCACACAATGGCGGCAATGACGGAGTATGCAATGACGGCCGGCCTGCTGGCGCGGGCCAGCTGAAGCCCAAGGCCGCCATTTATGATGCCCAGTGTGACTGCGATACGGCCGACCCAAATATGGGCGTGTGAGCAGGCAGTGCGGCATCCTAGACGTTTGAACCTGAGATGATGGAACCATCCCAGGGCGGGCTGGAAGAAGAGGACTACTAGTATAATTATGCCGATTATTGGATGAGCATTCGCTGTAGGAATGGAAAGCTGCAGGTCTCTGTGAGCCGTGGCCATGAGAAGGTGGAGGAGAAGAAAAGATCTCAGCCGGAACTCACCAAGGATCGTCCATCTGGTGGAATACGGACCATGCGCACGAGGTATATACCAAGAGCCGCAGCAGATATAAACACGGCATACGCAATCAGCTGAAATATACCATGAACGAGCCATGTCAGCCGTCCGGGAACCAGTCTCATGATGATGGCCCCGATGGGAAAGAGTCCCACAAAGGCGAGCGCAGCAAGGGCTCCATGGGCAGTGCGATATCGAGTCGCTTTAGCATAATCGATGCCAATCCCACTCCCGAAGCCGCTTCCGAAGCCGTCGTCATCGTTACCAGAGCCACCGTAGTAGTAGCCCCATCCGGGACCACCGCCGTCATAATCATCACCCCACTGGCCTCGCGCGTGTGCTGTCGTTGCTAAATATTGAAATGTACACATCGGTTAGCACCATGTTCTTCTGCAGCGTGTTTCATCATGAAACCTCCAGCTGACCCAGCGACGTCCACGGTAACTCACCCGAAGCGAGCAAACCAAGAAATGTCAAATACATTGCGATGATGTATGCTTCGGTGAACGGACTGCTCCTTTTTATCTTGATAGGACGTCCACAAGGGATGACTAGGGGGGAAAACAAACAAAATGAGTATCACACCACTCGAGGATTATTCTTGAAATTACTTCAAGATTATGAGGCTCCCCGAAACAATTCCCGGAATTTTGGGAAATAAATTTAAGAAGATGCAGATATGAAAGAAAAGTATGTCGACAACGCTGAAAAGGAGAATGCTGAAAGTCCACACCTTAAGCACCTCTGACCCAGCCATGAATAAATACGGCAACATGCGTAAGCTTCTTATGCGCAGCTGAACTGGCGCCACGGACGTCCCCAATGGGGATGTGCGACTCCGTTACTTTCGGCATATGCGCGGTCAAAAGACCGACAGCGAATGGAATCACTGCCTATTGGCAATTAAGTCCCGACCACCCAACGTTACTGGCTGCGTATGTATTCAAGAATAAAGTGGTAGGGTAAGAGGCTGGCAGTATCACTCTCAGACCCCGTCTCGGAGCTGTTCACGTAGCTGATTTCCATACATACCCGTGTCTGCAAGGAGGGGTAGAAAAAGAAAAAAAAATACTTCAGGGTCCAGTTCTTTTATTGCTCCGGGCTTGATGAGGCAATCTGCACATGAACGAGTATTACCAGCCAATAAGCAACGAAAAATCCGTTTGATGTCATGGACAGAAGGAAGAAAGCCCACATACTGAGCTCCGAGTGACTATACATATTATTACAACATAGACTGCAGGACAATCAATAGCAAGTGAATATAGATCGACACGGGTCCGTCGACTGTCTGGATTGCTTGCCATAATGGCGCTTTTATGAGTAATGAAAACGATATCTATGGACGTGCCCTAGTTGGAATGCAAACCTTTATCGCGAAGCCTTTACTTTATCAAGATGATGCAGCCTATCGCATGATGTCCACGACGCCGAAACCCCTTGGAAATGATGAATCTATGTGGTGGAAATCGAGTCATGACACGGTCTTTACTCGTCCTCGATAAACTCGATCATGACCGTTCCGTTCTTCAGGCCAGCTTGCTCAATCGTAGCTTCGAGTCTCTCAATCAAATCACCTCCAGGCTGGGCCTTCAACTCAAATACCAGGCCATCCTTGCCCTCCAGTGGCTCTGCCTTGAGCCACTCATAGATTCGCTGTACTGGCTCTGCTGTTGAAAAGCGGCGAATAACTCGGCCAGCTGGATGTCGGAACTGAATACGAGTAGTGCTGGCTGGGTTGTTCTCTGGTTCTACATGAGGCCTATCTGACGGGATTGCCGCAAAGGGAGAAGCAGGCTCTTGAGTGACCGCAGTCTCTTTGCCCTTGTCAAGCTCCGGGACAGATTTAGTCAGCGCATCGGGGTCCTCTTCACTGGTCTTGGATGGGCCACCACCATTTTCCATGCTGTTTTGGAGTGCCATTTCGAGCATTTCCTCCTCAGTCATACGATCAACGTCCACTTTCTTTGCCTTTGGCTTTGTTTTCGGGACAGGGTTTTTGCTGTTGGCGGCTAAGCTGTATCTGTCAAGAAATTCGATGAGATCCGAATAGAATTCTCCCTTGTCAGGAAATGGCAGCCCCGACCACAGCTTTACCTGCTCGCCCGTCCGCGGGTCAATGATAGCAACGTAAGGATAGTTGCTGGCATTTTCGTGCTGGGAAAAGTAGAAGCCAAGATATTCTTGGCCACGAGGGTTGTCCTTGTCGAACTGCATAAAGATAAAGTGCTCCTGAAGCAGGGATCTGATGTTGGCGTCCTTCCAGTGATCGCGATTCAGAGTCTGGCAATTGAAGTCGGATGAGTCTTGCACGTTAACAATGATCCACTTCTTTTCTTCCTTGCCCTCCTCTCTAGCATCTTCCCAGGATAAATGAGATATGATATCGTACGGAGGTCTGAACATGTCGGCAAGTCGTTGCGATCGGCCGCCAGCCGGCCGGGAGCTCATGGGTACAGGCGGCACACCTTCACCCGGGGCGATCGGTTCATCCCATACTGACTGGCTGAAGGGGTTTGCTGGTTGACCTGCACAATAGTGTCAGTGGGGAATTGTGTACACGCGATGGGGGAGGCAAGCACGTCTTGCACACATACTAGGCGGTTGTCTTCTGCGGCGCAGTTGCTCCAGGACGGCAGCTTCGCGGTCATCCTCCAAGCTCCAAGCTGGATTGGGGGCAACAAGGGTCTCGGTGGTTCGGCTCATGGGTGCTCTCACTTCATCGGCAGCGGCACCCCCTTGGCCATAAATCTCCTCCTGTAGTCGTCTTGCCATGGCAGCGTCGTCCTCTTCCTGGGCAGCTCTGGCGACAGCAGCGACGTCGTCATTGTCATCATCATCATCATCGCCACCTTCGGCCATGGCTATGTCATCGTCGTCGTCGGAATCAATCGTAATGACGCCGCGGGAGTCTTCGCGGCCGGTCAAGCGTCGTGGATCGCGAGTAGAGGAAGGATGGGCTGAAGTTGTATGCGTATCGCTTGTGAAGTTGGCTGCCAGTTCGGGGCTCTCGAAGAATAGCTGAATCGCCTGCATCTGGTCGTTTCCAGAGATCTCGAGATAACCTCGGGCGACTCTCTCATTGTCGGTGCCAGTAATGGCCATGAACTGAGCGACGTCTTCATCCATGACGGGCAGACTTGGAGGGGGACTTCGGCTATAGCTTCACCGGGACGCGATGGGCTGCGGTACAATGCCTAGTAGTAAATTATGAGGGGAGTAACGAAATTCGGACGTCTAATGTTGACGACGATTGTCGTCTTCAGTCCGTTAGCGACTGCTGTTGGAAGAATGAAAATAGAGGTGTGGCGGTCGCGGTGGCACTATGTTGGGTGCGATCGATTCCAAGCATGAAGGAACCAGTTGAGTGCTGCTGCTGATGGATCAAATTGATGGCGGGGTGCAGTTGTCAATGGAAAAGGTACGTACGTCTGTACTTTGATGTTGGGCAGGAAGACGGGCGGATGGGCAGGTACCTTCTACCTTGCCTAGCGTGGTGGGTGGTGGGTGGGTGTCGGATCAGTTACCGTCATTGAAGGTAATAGTACCTACATTACTTTACACTACAAGGTTCCAGACAAGACCTCCTCACCTGGTGTGTGGTGGGCTGCTAAGAAATCTTGACTTATATAAACGAATTGAGGAAATTTCGACAGCTTGGATATGTCGGAGATCATACGGGCATTAGTTGAAATGCATGTTCCCCAGGCAAATGCCTTTTTCCTTCTTTCTCTCCTCTTTTCTGCCTGTACTTGCTTCCCTGCTACCCGAGGCTCACTCAGACCTTGGTGAAACGAGGCAAATTCTAGGTTATACTACCTTGGTGTGCCCAAGGCAGAGATACGCTCGTCAAGATGGTCGACAAGCAGGAAAGCAAGGAACAAAGATTGGTCGAGGCCCAGAAGACGCTTGACTTATGAAGATGATAGGTACCGCGAGCGACGAGAAACCAAGGTCACGAAGCAACTTGCCCCAGTACCTACATACCTACCTATCTACATACCTACCTACCTACATACCTACCTACATACCTACCTACATACCTACCTACATACCTACCTACATACCTACCTACATACCTACCTAACCAAGAGGCAACCTACCCTACTGTAACGCAAACTCTGCCTCCCAATCGGCAGAGGCTGATTTACGTGCCGCTAAGCTGTTCCTCGGGAGCCTGTTCAAGTGATAGTGATGCAAATACGCGGTAGACATACAGTGAGGCAACCAAGCAGGTACTTAGAGCTGAAGTAATTGCGCATGCATGACTGACCACTCACTGCCTGTATGGATGCCTCACACTCCACGCGCGGGCCCAGTTGGTTTTTTTTTTTTTTGTTTTTTTTAAAAATAGTATCCAAAATCAACAACAAGTTGACCCGGGCATCCTAAACAATGAGACAACGGAGGTCACTTTGTTCGTTGTATCTCAGCCCTGTGGGCAAGTCTATTCATCAAGCGACAAGCAGTACCAAATCAATGCCTGAATAAAAGAAGAATAAAAGAAGAATAAAAGAAGAATAAAAGAAGAATAAAAGAAGAATAAAAGAAGAATAAAAGAAGAATAAAAGAAGAATAAAAGAAGAATAAAAGAAGAATAAAAGAAGAATAAAAGAAGAATAAAAGAAGAATAAAAGAAGAAAAAGACATCGAGACATCAAGACACCGAAACACCGAAACACCAGATGTAAGCCAAACACTAAACAATCACCCGTATTCTATATCGTTGTCCTTGCATTTTGCTACTGTGTTTTTTAGAAGGGGGGGGGGGGGGGGGCAACACCTCTCTCAATCATCTAATCATCTATTTATTTATCGTCTATCTCTACGGTTACTGGAAATTGCTTGTCTAGGCAAGCTCTCTCATCTGTTGAGAGTGGCAGCAGCCTGTTGAAGTAGCTTCTGCACATCAAGCGATCTATCCGCTTCCAATAAAGCAGTAATCATACTATAAGCCTCTTCTGTCAAGGATTCCATGGGTTCCCCAAAGATACCCTTCCTGAGCGCCTCTCCAAACGAACGAAGCGCTTTCGCTCGGCCGGCGCGTTGACTTTCAACCAGAGCCACGTCACTTTCTACTGTCAGCATCTCTAACCATCTATGGCCGATCTGATTGGTGCCGGTTGAAGGTGCACCACCAGACGAGGACGCGGCTTTGAGCAGCTCTGCCGAGCAGGTAAAGAAAGTGTCTCTCGCGATAGCTGGCGCTTTCTTTGCGCCTTCGAGTACCGAGATGACCTCTTCGAGAACGGCTCCTGGATTCGTCTGTAGCTTTGATGGGCTGTAACTCATCATGGCAACCTTGAGTGCCGCCGCCGTCGTGTTACGTTCGATTTCAGTCAGGCTGTGATCTGCTTGTGAATCGGGCTTCAAATACTCGGAAACTACCGCGACAGCTTCGGCGTACATGTCTTCATCTTGCCGTGCGGCAATAAACTCTGCCAGTGCCTCGAATGCATGAGGCCGGTACTCGTCGTTGTTGCGTTTTGCTTCGCGAAGGGCAATTTTCTTCGTCTGTGCTGCAAATGCTGCGTCGCTGCCCCAGAGCTTCTTGCTGTGTCTGATAAAGATTGGATAAGCTGCAACCAGCGTTTCCTTGCCTTTGAACGTCTTCAATGCCAAAGCTTTATCAAGTACGGGCCATATCCTCTGCAATCCTCCCTCATCGAGCTGGCCATCCTTGCCAATCACATGGCTAAGCGCCTTGATCATCGAGGCAAGAGTCAGGGCACCGCCATGTTGCAGTGCCCATTTAGAAGTGCTAAGCGCTGTGGACACGACACCAACAATCTCATCAATAAAACGTCTCACCGTGTGGTCACTACCTGCGTGCTGACTCCAAACAGCCTCAAATTCCTCGGAGACATACTCGTCCGTATCGTGCTTGCCCAGGTAGGCAAATGGGAGCAAGCGAGACTCCAAATCCGTAAAGGCATCCGGCGATATTTTGGCAATAGCTAAAATACTGTCCGCAATCTTTTGCCGTCTGGTGTCGTCCTCTGCGGCAAAGTATAACTCAGCCAGCCTCGAGGCGAATCGCTCCCGTGTCGCTGCAGATGCCGTTCGGACCAGATAGGCTGCGCTTCGAGCATAGGCTTTGCTGACCTCGTGATTTCGATCGAGGATCTGGCTTTCCATGATCTTGAGGAAGTTTGCGTTGTATGGTGGAAGAAATATGCTATGACGTAACGCCAGAGTAGCTATGACTTCACTGCATCCAACTTTGGTCTGCATGCCGATCGCGGATTTGATAGCCTGAGCCAGTTGCGGCGCAAGCTCCTTCATCACCTCTTCGTCGGTGAAACGCAAGCAATTACTGATGCACTCAAACATTGGAGACCGAGTTGCTGCGTTGCTCCGCATCTTGTCCAGTTCCTCCCGGTCCTGTTCCCCGACCCGCTGGTAGTAGTAGTTGATTGCCTCGGGCTCAATCGTACCAAGAAGGCCAAGGCTGTGCGTGATGATTGTGGGAATGAATGGCTTCAGAGTGTTTCCACCGTTCTTGACGACGTCAAGAACAGTGGTAATGGCCATGTACTTGACTTCCTGAACTGAGTTTTCGATGCCCTTTTCTGATAGTAGAAAAGGAAGGACCTGTGCTATCATTGCTTTGGCAGAAGCGGACGAGTTGTTTTCTGTCAGCTGGGTGACGAGCGTTTTTGACAAACCCATGCATAGCTTCAGGGCTGCCGCTCTGACCGTACTCTTTTGATCGTCAAGCACTTTCAACGCCACCTTCCAGATATCGGTGTAGTACTTCTCGTATTTTAGAAAAGGTTGCCCATAAATCAGTTCCGCAATAGCTGCGCAGCTTGCTTCTCTGACGCGCCATTCACGCCCGTCGAGGATGCTTTTAAGCAGGTCAGTCATGATGGCATCAAAGTATACATCAATGGTTGATGTTGGATCCCTGACCACAGCCTTCCAGATATCATCCATTGACCTCCTCACGTTCGAATTAGGATCGAACCGGTATCGATATAGCTTGGGGTAGATTTTGGGGTCAAGCTCGGCCTCGGACAGAATGTTGCTCAACCCAAATCGACCAAAGGCTGAGCGCGCCGTCCACGTGGCAGCATTCGTGGCTAGAGCCATGAATTTATATATTAGGCTCTGGTCTCCAACCTCGTTCGCGAGACTGATAATATCCTTGTAGGATGTGACGGACTTGCCGTCGCCCGTTGGCAAAGCACCAGCATCAAATAGCTCAGTGTCATCATCAACCTTGAGCTGAGTTTTGGCGCCAGTGAAGGCCGCGATCAAGTCCTTTACTAGATCACCCCTGAGTGAAGGATCGCCCTTCTCGTACACCAGCGATAAACCACGGGATGCAGTCTCTTGTACAAGCTCGTCTCGACCATTGAGAAGTCGCATGAAGGCAACTTGGCAATCTCGAAGACGGCTCTGTACTTCGGGTACATGCGAGCAGTACTGGATAAGACAAAATAGCCAGATACCGCTCGCTTTCAACAAAGACGGCTTCGTGGTTTTGCAGTCAGTGATCAGCTTCTCTACGGTTGAAATGATGCGACCTGTTCTTCTACCCATGCTGCTCTGCAATCCTGCAACTCCTGCCCCAGCGGGGTCAACGTCAAGACCTAACTGGACCGACTCAGAATCCCAACGTGCAACCACTGCTGCAATTGCTTCGCCCGTGGCAAAATGTACCTCTGTCCTCTTGATCTCATGAAGGCTAAACAAGACATCAAGAACCTTGTCTACGGCCTCGGTCGTAGTCGCGGAGGGCATGGCGAGTCGACCTAATGCAGAAATTGCCTTCTCATTGTGGGCCTTTGCGAGTGTCTCCATCGCGCTCACGTACTCTTCAAACACATCTGAGTCTGTCATGCCCATGTTTGCAGTCCAAAGTTGAGAGAATGCGGGGAGAGCATTGTCCTTGGCTGTTTGATCTGAACCCTTCAGTATGGGCAAGAGGATGCATAGCAAGTATTCCATGTGCTGAGAGTCATCGAAATATTCAATCTTTCCATACATTGCCGCTCGAGAGAAATAGCTGCAGAGGAATGCTAGAGAGCCTTGGTACTCAGCAGACTGCATGGCAGATGGTTTTGGGCAAGAATCTAAGAAGGTCCGTAGTTTGGATATTAGATGGGATCCTTGGCTATCCCAAGGTGCAAGTATACCAAATACTGTCGAGGCAAGATGTCGTATCTTTTGGTTATGAGATTGAGCCCATGTCAACAATTCAGATGTTCTGCTGGAGAGTTTGGCGATAATCGTTTCGGACGGTGCAAATGACAACAAATCTGCCACTGATTGCATGCATACCTCGGCGCCGACGTCAGGATGGTCGCGCAGGCCATCGAGAGCTGCATTGACGACCTTGAGCAAATGGCCCTGGTCGACTCCAGATAGGTATTGTCTCATGAGGGCACGAGTTGGGATGTCATTCAGCAAGCGCGTCGCCAGCTGGCTCTCCCAGTCAATCTCAATCTTTGATTCGTTCAGGGCATTTAGACGAATCATCTGTGTCACATACTTGATGGCGATGGGGAAAGACTTCAGCCTCTCGTTTGTGAACAGAGTATAGGTCGATGTTTGATCTACATCCATGTCGTCAGGCATCTGGTTCGGAGCAGTATCGAAGAACATGTCCGCCAACTGGGCCCAATCTGGCAGCACCAGGTCTTTGTCTGGGTGAAGTTTGGTGGCCCACCAGGGGTCCAAGCCTTTCTGGCCCTCTTCCGATACATCGCGCCGTTCGGGGCCGCTGCCTCCCAGAGCAATAATATCGATCCATCGCGCCTTGATGTTGCTGTACGGGAGGCAGTTGTTGGCAAACCTTGCAGCGACATGTTTTGCTGTTCGAAGCCCTTGGCCGTCTGGGTAAGTCATGTATTCAAGAAGAAGAATCTCCAAATCTCGATGCTCGCCACTGTCCGTCGGTTCAAAGAGGCTCATCATGCTTGATAGAGCACTTTCGATATAAACCACGATATCTGCACTCGGATCAGAGACCAAGGAGTCAAACAACCACTTCAAAAGCGAGTCTTTGGCTTTGTGCTCAAAATGACTGCCTCGAGCTAAAGTGCCGATGGTCTCGTAGGCATTTGCCCGCAATCTCTGCTCATCTTGATATTGTGACTGGTTCGCGGCTGGCAGCGGAGCTGGCCAGCCCTGCTTAAGTATGTAATCTTTCAGGAGTAGTACAAGGCTCGGCCCCATTTCGTGATCCTTGGTGGATTGATTCGAGCCGTTCCTCGCGATCCACGCAAGGAAAGTAAGCAGAGCCTTGTGTAGTCTCAACGCCTCTAGACCTGTGATGGCTGCGCCTTCGCCGGCAGTCAGCGCAAAGTCTGCGCGGACTGCTTCCACTACCTCGGCATGCATCGTACAGGCGGTCACCGACTTGGATAGGACCCGTAGGATCTGGATCCTGTGAGCAGCCGGAAGACGCAGGTGCGCCTGGAACAAGGACACAATAACAGAACGATCCTCTAGGCTCACGGAAGACCGCTTTAAAACGTCATCCGCAATTGAATTAATTCTCGAGTCTGCCGAACCGGCCGCGAAAATGGTGGGCAGGAACCGTTCCTCGTCTGTGAAGGCACCACTGGCCAGAAGGCTCACGGCCTTGAGTTTGCACTCTGGCAATCCCAAACTTCCGGGTTCACCTGGTTTCCAGGTTTTCAAATCACTACTCCGCAGGAACTCAATGTCGTCCAAGCTGAGTCCAGTGGGGGGAGAAGAAGCCATAGTTGACTCGATATTGGCAGCCGAGGCTAAAGCCAAATCCTGCCTCAAGAGTAGGAACCGGGCTAGCCATTCTGCGATGTATTTGGCGTCGGAAGGGTCAGAGAATCCGATGGCGTCGCGAAAAGATGAATCGTCTCGAGTCCCCCGGGGTGGTACCTTGATCTCTAGCAAGAGTCTCAACAAAATGATGAAAAAGCCAGAAGCACTTGCACGGTTGGTCTCTTTGGAGATGCCCCGCGCTACAATAGGCAGAAGCTCGCGGCGCTTTTGCTGATCCAGCCGGAGAAGGCCTTTTTTAACCAGGCCGAGATCAAGCTGCTTGACCACGGGGGAAGCAGTCCTCTTGTACTGTTCCAGCAAAGCGGCGACGGGTAAAACAACACTATTAGACGTGAGTATGTGATGATGATGATAATGACGATAATGGGGAGGAAGAAAGAGGAGCGGTGCGCCTCAATGTGGAGATACGTACCTCGGGGGCTGTATGAGTTTAGTGACACTGATATACGCTTGAAAGGCCTAACGAGAGATTCCAGTCAGCCGCTTGTCTCATGAACACGATCATACATATATGCAAGCAGGGGCCTTACAGCATCGCGCACGCTCTTGTGCGGACTGGCAGCTTTCTCAAGCAACGGCACGAGCTGATTCTGCAACACGTCACTCAGCTTGTCGTCGTCTGCTGATGCTGTCGCAATTTTGTAGCGGATCGTTGAGACAGCCTTCTGACCGGCGGCCTCAGCTGAGGAGGATGCCATTACGGAGAGGAGGACGCGATCTAGTGGTTGGTGATGGGAATGCAACAAGTCTACCGAGGACTCCTCACTTCATTGATCATGGTCCTTCTTTGCGCGTGAGTGGGGAAATGAATGTCAATGGACCTAATTACAACGGGTTGACAAGAGTATCACATGGATTCGATTGCCTTCAGATTTGCTTTCTTCCGCACAGTCAGAGTAGAGAGCGGGTTTGGCTGTAAATATGATGGTTGGTGGATTGGTTACCAAGGTTAGGTAGTCAGCAAGCAGATACGTCAACGTTGGCATCGTCGCAACCAGCTGACTGCCTGACTGCCTGCCTGACACTGGCGACGCCACCTTGGCGGCTGAAGCAGTGGGGCTTGCTCTTGCTCTGTAAAAACTCGATGTCCCATATTCCAAGCTGCCATTCGATAAATGTACGTGTTATGAACACGCGATACTGTCAGAACGAAAATGATCATGTAGGCAGATCACAGTAAAACTAAATACAAAAGATTCAGCCACCCAAAACGCGACCTTTCGAATGCTCATGGGCCTGGTTGGCTGACTAACATCAAAGTACTACAGTACCTAAGTGCCCACACTGGACCATGCTTTTATTGCAAGCTACATTAGGTATGTACGAAGTACACCAGCAAGGTAAACACAGTCAGAGACATGAACAATCGAGCCTGGGTTCCTCAGAGATCGATTTTCAATATGTCTGATCCACACAAGTTTCTTTTCTTTCATCCGCATAGCATATCACGGCTAATACTGAAGAAGCGAATCTACCGTAAATCTGAAGCCATTCGGAATGTATACCTAATGTAGTTGGTTATCCATATCTCTTGGAGACAATCTTGGCAGACTGTCAACTTCCTCGTGTAGGCTTACGAGTACGAATGTGTAAGTAAACGGGCGGCATACTGTCACCACATTGGAAAACTAGCATTTAAGGCTTCCATCATGCATCTAGCTAAGGTAGTTGGTAAAGGCAAATATTCAACTGTAGGTGCAGTCATGCAGTAAACGTCAACCAAGGTATCGGCGCCAGTCTACATGTACTGAGCCGGGCGGTCCTGCGATCAGCAAACTTTATTTCAGGACGTGTCAGTTACCCCTCAAATGCATGAGCACGAGTAATGCCGTTTACCTAGGCGTCGCCCGTACGCATACGTACAGCGCTCGGGCTTTCTCAGATCTGTGTAAATGAAGGGGGAAAAAAGACTACTAATCGGCAAGGTTTGGTAAGTAATGCAGAAAGGAATTGGAGGTGGTCAGGTAGGAAGAACGTAACACAAGAGGTATAATGCTAAGACCAGGGTGCCAAAGGTATGGGATGCAGATACTGATCGAGGCTCCGCCAGACCGTGAGTGAGTAGAGAGATGGTATTGCGTCGTGTATGCGTGTTTACGGTACCCCTTCGTTAATCAATTCTGTTTCAGCGATGACGCCCTGCCTTGCATCTGGAGACTGATGGGAGAGACTCGGGCCGACGGCAGAATTGTTTTCGTCTGTTCCTATTGGAGCAGAGCGTCACGAAATACCTGAGACTTTGCTAGGAATATACATGGCCTTGCCCACATCGCCTACATCTATGCTTTGACTATACGCAGCTCTCCTCCTGACGATATGCTGTGCAGATTAGGCATCATGCGTATGTCGCTTGCAACGCTTGCGGACTTGGTATACACAGTGAACCATCGTTCGCGTAGTGATCTAAGAGCCTTGTAGTGTCCTTTTTCTTCTTCTTGGCACACTTTACGTACTTTTAGATCATGTAGACATGTAGGGTACGGTGCGTCGAGACGTAGGTGGGAAGGGTCTCTGTCTCTGCTGTTTGTTAGTAGTCTATTGGAGCTGCAGTATTCCATACCGACTTTCAATCTTTATCTCGTCTTTCGGGGCGTGAGGACAAGGAACTGCTTTCAGACGCATATTTCAGGTCATTGAGCGCGTCCTTGCCACATAATGGTAGCCTACCTGGTACTTTCCTATGACAGGTACTGCCTATGGCAAACATGGGGCAAAAGCTGAAAAGAAACTGCCTGTATCATCGTTGAATTTCCAAAAATGGACAAGTGAGACGAACTCGGTGCAGCAATGTACAAATATGTAGAGTTTGCCTACACAATACACAGTAAATGACATGGACTGCTGCTGCTGTCAGGTCGTTGGCTTCAGCGCGGCAATCGTTACTTTGGATTCGTGATGGAAACGTGCTTATTGGTGTGAACCACAAAGCTGAAAACCCCTGTCAAGGCAGTTCGACAGGGGGCATGCAGATCGTTGCATCTGTGGCCAGCATACCCGGGCCACTTGAATCGAGGCTCGCCCATATCCATCGTTTGTCGTCTGCCCAAGGTATAACATTCAGGTATATACATAGTACAGTAAAGATAGGTAGCCTGGTAGTGGTTCGACCAACCACCAACTTTGGGGCATTTGACACGTGGAAAGGCTTGAATCGTTGCCCATGTGCTGGTGGCAGACGGCAGATCTGAAGATATGCAGTATCTCCCATAGGGGAAGAATAATGCGTCGATGAGCTCGATACGTCACAATTAGAAAATGGAGAATTTTTTGCCGCTACGAATAGGGCTTCTCTTTACAAGACAATTGGAACACCAGTCGATGCTTGTATTACTGCTTATACATAATGGATATCCTGTATGAGCCTGTGTAATGTTTAGAAAAGGATCATTGATATGTTTATTCTCCCGTTGTAAATTTATTAGCGAATAAGTGATATTCCAACGATGTAGGCAGCTAATATTTAACAGCTACCAGGTAAGAATCCATACGTGGTACCCGCTTCCAGACTCTACCTATCACCACCTGATTTTCTACGCAGTACCTCCTCCATACCTTGCTGCTGGAGCACATGCAATGCGAATGTAGGTGCCTTACATTAGGCACGATGGAGGCCATCTCAATTACAACCGAGCCTCATTGACACGTTTCAAAGCCGCCTCGGTTGACTGTTGCCCCTCCGCGACACTAGAGAATTACCTCATCGATTGGACAAAGCCCCGTTCAAAGTGTGTTTGCTTCTAAGCAGCTTCTCGAGGCGGGCAATGGCATTGCTGCAGAGTACTGGGTGCTATTTCTTCACAATTAATGCATTTTTGTTGACACAATTCTGTTGTGTCGTTGTGCTGCTCGCTCTTCAAAAAGGGCGGAACATCCATGGATAGACCAACTTATTCCTTTGAACTAAGTCTCTACTATGCGATGAAAATAATATTCTTGTACATGGAACTTTACAGGAAGAAATGCCAATTCTGTCTCCTCGAAAGGTATACACAGACAAGGAGATAACAGCAACTTGGCGTAGATATCTAAGTATTTTACCAACGTCCCTGGGCATACTTTTTACCCAGGGCGCCGTGCTGCCCCTCCCCCACCTTCATCTCACAGACTACACAGTACATTACCACCTAGATTAGGTACCTTGACACCTAACCTACGCTACCTAGTAGTACAAGGTATGTAGTTAGGACAAAAGCCGAAGGATCCCGAGGTGATGCACCTAGCACAGACGACACCCCTACCTTACTTGCATCACCTACCGTTTGGTAAGCCCTACAATATGGACGCGACAGCAAATTCGATTTCTTGACCAAGCAATGGATATGGCCGACGCCTCGGCCAGTTTTGGCTCGCCCGTGCAATCAGACATATAAAACACTTCATGTACGGTTTTTGCTTAGTACTTGATTGAGCTGGGGTTTGCATCACTCTTCGTTAGCTGTCGCTGGACAAGAGAGCGCCGCCCCTGTTAGGCTATATAAGGGATGTGTGAGAGGAAAACGATATACGTCCATGAGCATGTACTCTGTATCCATCGCTTTTCCGCGCATCGCTTCCGTCTTGATTGGCATTCTACTATCGTGGGCTGGATTTCTTGTTTACCAGATGGACTAGGCACTTCCTTGGACTAGCTGCGAGGCGCTTCGGAGCCTCCTGCAGCGACATTGCACCTCCTGGCGACCTGATTGCTTGCGCAGTGCGTACATGACTCGAGGAGACTCGATGTTGTTTGGAGAAACATGGGTGCTTCTGGCCTGGCCTCAAATGGGAGCTCCTTGCAGCAATTACATCTCTCATACCTTTTGTGTGTGTTCTCTTGAGTAAAGGTTTGACATCCTTTTCATTTCTTTTCATAGATACTACTGAGCACCGTGATCTCTACTCACATCTCCCTGCCCAAGGTACTGATGATATAGCACTACGAAATAAGTGCACACTCAATGATCTTCATGTTTCCAGCATGCACGCATGCATTAAGTTATATGTGTAATGTAGTCGCACGTAGAGTTACGAAGGCAAGCAAAGGTAGGTAAATACTGCTTGCAAACCAGTCAGCCGATCCCTCCGTTTATGCCTGTGCCATGCGGTCTAATGCAAGCTCCCAAACACACTCCCCGAAGCACAAGACTCGATTCACAAACGAACCGCTCGTCTGAAGATTTCCACACGTCCTTTAGTTTTCCGTTTGTGTAGTCTTGCTCTAGACCGATTCAAATCCCCTCCAGAATTGTCTAACATCTTCAACAGCGGCCGTGTCATCAATGTCTGTGTCAAGTGTTCGCCACCTTACATGAGCAGCTTAGGCAAGCTTGCAACCTGGCAAGCAATCTCCGTGTGCAGCTATCCGTCTTGGTTACCTCTCTTATTCCCGCAGGCTGAGTCTGTCACTTAGCAGTTATCGATGGCCTGGATGGTTTGATTTCGTGCAATTTCAAACTCGAAGAGAGGGGTGCAATCAAAAGGTTACACAGTGCACGTCGAATTTGGATTTGCAGTGAGTCGTGGTTTGACCACACACCTCGAATTTTCGAACGAGTCAGATGTGCAGAGGGCCTAGGGCGAATTTGAAGATTGTGTACCTGCTTTGCGAATCACCTACACGCTCCACTGACAATATCTTTATTATATTACGCTGAGCACACTGAACATGGAATATTGAACTCTGGAAGTCCGTCCCGTCTGGAAAGCCCGGTCGACAAATCAACCCTAAAATATGGTTACCCCCAACGTTTTCCCAGGCCGTCTGAATGAAGCTTCTCAAACTCTTTCCCCCACCTTCTTCGTTTGATACTAACCTAGGTATATCGCCGTTGATTGCCTATTCGACGGTGTGTGGTCTCAGTCGCCTCAGACGATTGGCTGATCAACAGGCTGATTAAACGTAGGTACACACAAGTTTGCATTTGTAGAATACCTTATATGTGGCTCATGAACATTCAATTACCCGCGAGGGTTCCTCCTTATTTCATAGAATCATTAGGAGCCTATACGAATAAGTGTGTATGTATATATCTCTTTCTTGCCCTTTCAAGAACTCTTGTTCTTGTAGCGACTATTCCGTGCAATAAATTCGTACGTGCTACACGAATGACCATGTCCATACGGAAATCCAAAAAGCATTGTGTGGTTGAAGTCCAATGTTTCTTATTTTCGGCCCTTGGAGCCCTATGACATGCTGTTGTTGCTGCAAGCCGGGGACCCCCTCCTAGCGCGAGGCATAGTGTCCAGGTGGCTGGCTAGTGCTCAGGTACGTATCTGCTGACGTACCTGTACAGAGTACATGTACCTAATCTTCCACCCCCAAAGAAACCCACCATTTATCACGAATGAAAGGCGTATAATAGTTATAATATTCTCATCCATTTATTTGAGGCTGATAATGACTATAGATGAAGAACCAATGAACACGGCCATCTGTCATTCTCGGACCGTACTATTTATTTCCTACCTTGTTGGAATTGGTATGTAAAGTACGTGGTATACATCGACAGCTCTTTTTTTAGGTGAGAGAGAGGAGGGGCCTGGGAGTCTTTGCACATACACGGTAGCTACATGACCTTGCAACTACCAACTACTGTCGCTACACTATAAGTACCCTAGCAAAAAGTCAGAGTTTTGCGGACCCTCGCACTGATCCCTGCCACTACAAGCCTACCTTGTCTACCTTGATTGCCTACCTGCAGAGGCACGGCGCCGCGGCGGCCACAACGATGGATGTGAGGATCTTTTTTTTTTTTCCCCCTCGGATCAAAAGTTTTGATCAGTGGACATTGAGTGGATTATCCCAGTACCTCCAGTACCTCCAGTACCTACAATATCCTTCGTAGTTCCTAGGTAAGCTGCGTACGGTAGGTACCCTTGCCACCCCCAGGAAAGTGTACGACACTGTGAAGAAAAGTCAGTAAAATACCAATGAAAAAGACCTCTGGACCTGTATGGGCTACAGAAAGGCTGATGACATGTACACTATCTCACAGCCGGCGACTTGCCCAAGGAACTGACTACTAGCTACTTTACCTTACCTCCCCTACTTACTTGCCTACCTGCCTTACACTACGCTCCTCTATTTACGTTTACTCGCGCCAAAAAAGCACCCCAAGCACCGACCGGGACCAGACTAGGAAAAAGTCAAGACTTCGTCTCCTCCACTCCCGACCCCGTTTCCTTACTCTTTTTTTCCACACCACACGCAAAACCAAACTGGCACCATCGTTGTCTGCCTCTGCTTTTGTTTCGTTCGCCGTCTTTCTTCCCACCACACTCCCTCTTCCTTTCTCCTCTTTTTTTTCCCTTCTTTTTTTTTTTTTCCCTCTCTGCTAACCCTAATCGTCACCCCTCCGAAAACACCTCTCCCGCCGGTCCGCTGCTCGAATTCCGTTGCGTGCGTTTTGCCAGAAGCATCCTTTCGTGTGTTTTCTCCGTCTGCGCGCGCGGCCTTTCTCGGTAACCCGGTTCCTCCGCTGTATTCCGCAAATTTTCCTCCAGCTTCCAGCAAGCAGTCTGCCAAACATCAGGAACAAACTTCCTTCGTCACAGAACTTTCTGCTGGCTTCTTTTTCTACCGCATATTGTCTGCGTTGTCGTCTTCGTCGTTGTCGTTGTACCCCTTCGAACGGCACATCACCCTGCCAACTACGTACGTCTCCGGTGTACGAGTACAGCAGCACGACACGCCTGATCCGTGCGGCCCGTTCTACAACATTGTCAACCTCCGGTACACTTTCGTCTTGCAATTGTTGTTTGTGGCGGCGCTTGTGCTCTCCTGCTCTTCTGTCGTTGTATGTTCAACAATTGTTCTCCTGTGCTTAAGGTAAGTCCATCTTGTTTCATTGCCTCTATCCCACCACCTTGCCGTATAGCACTCGAGTCGTCATGGCGTTACAAGTCGAATTGTGGATATAATGCGCGCACTACGCATGCCTTGCTATGGCGAAGACCTCACCCGGATGTCAACCTTACAAGCTCTGTCCTCGACGTCCAAGATCAAGCTCGCGCTGCTTGACACTCGACAACTCGGTCCGCCACCGTCTGCCCACCAGACACGAAGTTGGTTGAAGTGCGTTGAGGCTCTTCCGCCGATAGAGACTGAGAACTCTCTCCGTTGATGTCATGCCCCGCATTGCATTCTGCACAAAGAACCATGTGAGCGCTTCCAACCAGCAGCTCTTACAAAGCTACGCCGAGAACAACTACCACTTGTATCGCTCTCCACTCCTGCCGACTCGATCATATACGTCATGATGGTAGATGCGACTACCATAGGCTCAATGCCCCATTGTCAGTCGAATGGGCTGTTTGATGAGGCCGTGGCAGTCCATCGTACCCTCCCCAGCTGAACGTTTCTTTCTGCCTGGACCGGAATTCCTTGCCAGAAGCGAAACTTTTATGGCTCAGATCGCCATGGTCATCACCGACATGTCTTTACACAAGACGTCCTTATGACCGAGTGGCTGGAGCCGGCTGCTTAGCCCAGGCATGATGTTGCACACACTCCCGCAAAATCATGTCACAAATGACAACAATCTTCAACAGCTCCACGAGTCTCTGGTTTTCGCCATATACGCGACAACACATTCTCCATCAGACTCCCCAGCAAGCCTTGTCTTTGAGCAGGAGTCCTCGTCATACGCAAGCCTACGTATACCCGACGCATTCGGTAAATTACTATAAACTGCCAATGGCTAAAGTTGATTCACGCTCATGGCTACGCCTGGAAGTCGATGCAGTCGACTAAAGAAATGACATTAGCCCCCGAATTTGTGCATTTCTCTGGAGATGTTTGATTTGGCTTCGAAGCACGGCTTCCTATCTACTCCTTTGCTCTATTGGACGCGATCACCAGAGGCGAGGATTTAAATACAGCAGAGCTTGTGCTACAGGCTACCGCGCTACAGATGGCCATGGTTTTGTGGTGTTATGAAGGACTCGAGTGCTATTACTGCTACTACATGACAACCGAAGGGTGTGTCCTTGTTGTGCTAACAGTGACTGTCAGAGTATCAGAGACTAGTAACGACAAAATATCCTCGGCTTTCTCTATCCAAATTACATTTCTCGAAAAGTTCGGAGTTATTTCCAGTTCTCAACCTCGCGATATTCTCTGATTTCAGACAAGAATACCTGGCGTTGGCGTTCGTTGTTGCTGTCTAGTTTGCAAATCTGGATATCACCGGTAAGCCTCTTGTTTTTTTCCTGTTTAATACCCCTGACCCCTTCCGACTACCTTGTCTTGTGTTGCTCCTTTACTCTCCCCCGCAATGAGAATATCAGTCATGGGCGCAACTGTATGGGCTTGGTGGACTTCGTGGACATGCAATCAGGCAGTGGCACCAAACCTCCGAATCTTACGCGCGTATAACATCTACGGCCTCGCATCTCAGTGATGTCTACAAAGTCCGATGTTGAATGCGGACCGAGACTTCGAGCATCTTACGAGGCTGGGCAATTTCTCCCAAACCTGACACCTGGTAACATTCGCCTTTCTCCAATGAATGCTGCCTGCAATAACGCTACAACAACCCAGCATTAGCATTGGATTGCGTTCGGAACGATGTATTTCTTCTTCACAAGAACCATGACACTGGCTGGCACTGATTCACCAATGTCCTTTCGCCGCCACTCCAGAAATCACTGCGGGCTTGACGTGCGTATTGCTAGGTATAGCCGCGCACGGACCCATGGATCCGGACCATATTCCACTTGTCAATATGGCCATGCATAGCTGTCTGGTTCTCGGGCTACATCATGACTGGCAGCCTCATCATGTGCAATGTGCAAAACCATCATACCGTGCACGAGCCGCTTCCAACAATTTACCGCATTCTTTGCAGCTCACACCGGCAAGCTCATGTCAGCATCCGATCATCTGTCATGAATTGTCAATGCTGCCAGATTTTTGTCACTAGTTCAGGAACACTAAATAGCAAGTGCTTGCAAATGCTCCTGGTACCCTAGTTGATCTGTTCATGGAATATCTCGGCTTCTTGTTTCCCATTCTGAAGTCTGGTTCTGCTTTACATGGAACAGTGCACAGTTCTGATTACTAACTATGTATAGTTTATCAGTCTCCTTCTGGAAGTCCGTCTTTCAGATCAACGCTTTTCGCACTATCAAGTCTGGAATAATCTGTAATTTGATTTACTGATTATCCGAATAAAGAGCAACTCTGGGTAGTAGAACACACTCTGCCAAACCAGTCGATTTCCTTTTGCCTTATTTGGCTTTCCTCAATACGCCTCATACATAAACGGCTTGTACCAAAAACAGAGGTGAGTCAATCGAGGCCTCGGAAGTAGCAGATCTTCAAACCTGTCAACTAGGCACTGTAAACACAGTGCCTTCCCTGTCCGGCTCATATCTCATGCATTACTGTCAGGTGGAGTACTAATCAACGACTCTTAGACAAGATGGACACATTCACCCCGTTCAACGGCCAGCCCGCCTCGAATGGCTCCGGCTCACAGGGCGAGGGAGGTTCGCAGGGTGGCATGCCCCCTATGGCCCCCAATGGCCAAGGTGCCGGCGATAACGGCAACGGATTCCAGGGCGGTGATGCTTCCCGCCAGACTCTCTGGTAAGCACTTCACACCCTTTTCTTATGACTTGCCATTAACCCTGATAGGATGGGCGAGTTGGCTGGATGGATGGATGAGCAGTTCATCCGATCCATTTTCCTCTCTTCAATGAACGAGAATGTTCAGGTCAAGATCATTCGCGACCGCCACAGCGGGTAAGTTGGGACACAAACGTGCTCATCTCACTCGAGCTAAACCTTGACAGCAATGCGGGCTACTGTTTTGTTGAGTTTGGAACACCTGAAGCTGCTCAGAAGGCCCTTCAGCTTAACGGCTCCCCCGTTCCCAACACTGATCGTGTGTTCCGCCTTAATTGGGCATCCGGCGGTGGACTTGTTGACCGCCGCGATGACCGCAGCCCGGAATTCTCGATTTTTGTCGGTGATCTTGGCCACGAGGTCAACGAATTCGTTCTTGTTGCCTTGTTCCAAGCTAGATTTCCTTCGTGCAAGTCTGCTAAGATCATGACCGACCAGCAGACCGGTCAGTCTCGTGGTTACGGTTTCGTCCGCTTCAGCAATGAGCAGGATCAGCAGCGCGCTCTGGTTGAGATGCAGGGAGTTTACTGCGGCAACAGACCCATGCGTGTGTCGCCCGCCACTCCCAAGAATCGGTACGTTTCCATTCGTCTCCTATCCTAAATAGCCAGCACTCACATCTTTCATAGCAGCCACCAAGGAGGACAGTTCCAGAACTTTGGCGGTCACCAGATGATGGCCCCAGCTGCCGCCGTTCAGCAGCCAGGCATGGCTAACCCCTGGGTTGCTCAGCAACAGCAAGGCTTCGGTGGTTACCAGCAGGGCGGGCAGGGGTACAATCCTATGGTGATGAACCAGTTTACCGACCCTAACAACACGACTGTCTTTGTTGGTGGCTTGTCGGGCTATGTCACTGAGGATGAGCTGCGTTCATTTTTCCAAGGTTTTGGAGAGATCACCTACGTCAAGATTCCTCCCGGCAAGGGCTGCGGCTTCGTCCAGTTTGTCCATCGCCATGCTGCTGAGATGGCGATCAACCAGATGCAGGGCTACCCGATTGGCAACTCTCGCGTCCGCCTCTCCTGGGGTCGATCTCAGAACAATTCGGGAGTAGGTACTCCCTATCGCCCTGCTCCCCCGCCTCCTCACTATTTCCCTCCTGGCCCACCCGGACCCCCCGGACCCCCTGGCCCGGGCTTTGGCGGTCCTGGCTTCGGTGGTAATGGTGGACACCAAGGTCCTCCTCCCGGTGGACTTGGTCCTCAGGTAAGCCTCGCTGCCTTGCAACCGTTCCAACATTGAGCGTAATGAGACGATGAAACTGACCCGGTGGCTACAGTAAATGCTTTCTCGCATCGCATTCCGGCGTCCAGCGTTCTGGTGTTCGAGTCGTTGGTCGTCTTCTAACTTCCGTCGTTCGGTCACGGCTTTCTGGTGTCTTCTATAGTGGTGCATCTATCTGATTCGCGTCACTTTCCTTCATTTTCGTCGATTCTTTTTGGCTGCCACGAAAAGCGTTTGGCAGGGCTGGCCAGTTTGAAACCAACCGTAATGAGAGCAAGAGCAACAAGGGGTATAGACGATGGATTGCGCTGTGTTCCTTGTCGTTTGCGATCTGCCACCATAGAATTATGGACATGGTGGAGCGGGGTCAGTAAGAAAGTGTTTCAGTTGATGATACTGCCGCTGGTAGTTTTTGCAGTGGCGTACGGATTGATGTGGCCGGGGCGTTTGCGTTTAGTCAGGCGCATGTGTGTGCATATGGGCTGCTATTCCATCTACATCACGGTGGCTGTCACTTGACATGGCGTTAAGGAATGATGCTTGGTTGGCACGTTGCCAAAACAAAAAGTTCAGTCTCTTCACCGGTAGTTTCAGCTCGAGAATATGAGTCTTCTTTCCATGAGTCTTGGGAGTTCCACTTTTTTCCTCCCCTTCAACAAGAAGCCAAAAAAAAAATTCTTTTTGACCTCGAAAATTCTTTGCTGTGTCGGCACTGATATGATGATCATGATCCATCCATGCTCACGTACTGCCATCCAATCTTCTTTTTCTCTCTCTCTTTTTTTCTTTCTTTTTTTTTTTAAAAAAAAAAAAAGGTTCTTCCCGGTCCAGGGTTCTTTCTCAGGGAGGCCTCAGGAGATTTGTTTTGCAGAAATAAGGGGGGAGGGGAGAAAAGGCAGGTTTCCTGGGTGCATAGTCCTGATCATCAGCTCTCCGTAGATGGCAGGGCAGAGCCATGTGCCATCATTAAGTGTGGAATTCACGAATACATCCACACATCCATCAGGGGTCGTCTTATACACCATAGTACTCGCTATGGACAGAACTCGAACAAGTCATCAAAGTTTCGAAGTCGCTTAAATAACTACTTTTCCCACGGAGTGCCGAGTAATAACAGCTGCACCAAGTGGTAGCCGCTGTATTTGGTAATATTTAAAATACGCAATCAATTTTGCCGACTTGAAAAGGCCATCCCGCAATGATGCCGGCTTTATTATACTTTGTATATCACGCCCGTCTGTTTTTGTTTACCCCGGCACAGACAGGCTGGCAAGAGTAGGGGCTTTGGAAGTCGGGCCCGGCAGTAGATGATAGTCATTTGCGGGAAATTGTACATGCAGGACAGTTTGACAAAGAACTTGAACTTGCAAACAGCAAAAACTTCATTTACGCAATCCGGGTATATCTAATACATCTTAGTCGTATGACAACAAACCAACCCCTGCCTCTGGACCATGCTTTTAGGTCTACCATGTGACATATCCCCTGAACGCCCGAGCTTATTTATGAGTGATGGTTCACTCCCGTCTTGTACCGCGGAGAGGTAGAGGGAGAGTAAAAGTAACAAAGGAAAGAAATTGTGGTTCAAGCGCGCGGTTCTGCCGAGTCATCTTCATCCAGGGGCTCTACTCTCACCAGTATCTCCTCTAACAAGCCCTCTAGAAAGGTGCCAACCTCTCGGCCCATGCCCACAGGTTCGCTCTTGTCGAGACGGTCGATCTCTTTGCACACATTCGCTAACTTATAGACGTGCTTTCGTATCCTGTCCTGAGCCGCCTCTGCGCGCTGCCGTTGCGGGGTGACGACCTTTTCATTTCGGTATACTTGCTGAAGTCTGATTTGCCGTCGCTTGAGGGCTTCCTCAAGCGCTGGGAATATGACATCGTTCAAGGCGTCGAGCTCGGCGTTGGGATTCGTGGCTGCAGGTGACGGGAAGGAATCCGGAGTGAAGAGCGGTGCTTGTCTCGGTTGCGCCTTGGACGGAAAGCCAGCTTGTTGAAACATTCCCTGCTGATTTGTGACTTTTTGTGGAAGCATCTGAGGAGGAGCACCACGAAAGGGTGGAATATCGGCCAGGTTTAGAGGGCCCGGCTTGGATGCAACCCGTTGGTGCTGATGCAATTGGGCTTGTGAGCCCCTAGGGGACAAGGCCGGCGCTGGGTGGTTGAACTGTGGCTGGGCTACGGGCGTAATATTCAGCTGTGACATGTCATGTTGGAGTTGCTCCTTCAATGCCCTGTCAAAGTCGGGTGATGCCATGGTCGGCGGCGGAGGCACCTGCTTCGAAATTGGCCTGGGCGTAGAGGAATCCTGTGATAGCTTTGTAGGAGAAGCTGGCAGAGGCACCTTTGTTGGCGACGACAGAGGCGCCAGGCCAGAGACGGGCTTTCGCTGGGGCGATGGCTGCCTTGCTGTTCCGGTCGAAGATGTGTTGTTTGGGGGCTTGAGAGTAGTGGCGGGCACGGACGAGCTGGACGACTCCTGATTCTTTGTTGGCGAAAGACTTCTAGTTCTCTCGCCGTAGTCTTCCTCGAGCGGCCTTAGTGCTCTCGAGTTCCTAGTCGATTCGTCCATTGGGAAAAGACCAGGGCGAGTTACCTTTCCACCTCTTTCGCTGACGAGCCGAACAGTACCAAAGTCCCACATGTCCTCATTAACAGGTTCGCGCTCGCGTATGTCGTCAGCCCCATCAAGCTCTTCCTCGTCTTCAGACTTGTGGGTAGCCTTCCACCTACTATGGCGCTCGATCAACTCGGTCAGATAAGATGTTTTTTTGGCTTTCCGGATAAAGGGGTGCTTGAGCAGATCCTTGGCCGAGGGCCTCTCCTTGGGGTCCCGCTGTAGACAGAGTTCAATGAAGTCTTTGAACGCCTTAGTGAAGTTGCCGTCGAGCCTGGGCGGGGGGTTCTTTGGGATCAAGAAGAGGACTTTCATGGGGTGGATATCTGCGTAGGGCGGCTCCCCATTGGCGAGCTCCAGGGCTGTGATACCAAGGGACCAAATGTCTGCCTTGTGGTCGTAGCCCGACTGCTTGATGACCTCGGGTGCCATCCAGAAAGGGGTGCCAACAAATGTGTTCTTCTTGGTCATGGTGGCAGAAAGCTGACCCGACACACCAAAGTCGGCAAGCTTGACCTGGCCATTGGAGCCAAGCAGGACATTGGCAGCTGTTGTGAATCAACGGATTAGTCGTTTGAACGTAAAGGATTGCGTATTTTGTTACCATGCTTTATGCCGACTTGAGCAATACGGGAGGAGATAATTTACCCTTTACATCCCTGTGCAATTTCTTGTCGCAATGGAGGTATTCCAAGCCGAGGAGCAGTTCTCTCACAATAATGGCAATGTAATCCTCGCCAATGTGGCCGGGCTTCATGAGGTCGGCACAGCTTCCACCAGAGCAGAACTCCATGACGATCCACAATTCGGCGCCCTTGGCGTAGGAGCCATAGTACTTTGTGACGTAGGGCGACTGCAGCTCGGACAAGATGGCTATCTCTTGGACGATGTCCTCAACCTCGTCCTCGGCATTTTCTATGTCAATGACCTTGATGGCAACCGCCTGACCACTCTTCTTGTCGACACTGCGGGTAGATACAAGTCAGCCGATTTGTTTCTCTTTCTCTTTCTCTCCCTCTCCCCCACCCTTCTCTCGAGGTGTGCGAGGGATACGACAGACACGATCTAGTCTGATCGATGCGGTTGGGTACGGATCTGTCTCTCTTCTTACCCCTTGTAAACCTTGCCAAAACTGCCCCCGCCGATGCAATATTCCTTGGTGTAGAGAAGCTCGGGATCGAGAGCTTCGTTAGCCTCGTAGTCGCGGTCGGCCATGGTGCAGACTCTGAAGGTTGTTCGGATTGGTGCGTAGATTTGTATGTACCGCCGTGAATCGTTGACGATGGCGGCGGGGTCGCTCTGCTCTGTGGGCACCTACCAATGGACTTGCTGCTACTGTACCGGGGTGGTGGTGCGAGGGCGGCGGCGGGGCGAAGAAACAGGCAGCACAGACAAACGAGGAGATCTGAATTAATCACAGTCGATGATGGTTCCACGTTCCTCGGCGTTGCGATGCGCCTATTCAATCACTGACTGGCAAGCCCAGAGCTTGCTGAGGTGGTCGCCAGAGAGGCTACGAATCAACAGTGAATGAGGGTGCTGAACGACGGCGCTTTGCGCATTCGGCAATTGGCATCGATGGCGCCGACGAATGGACTGACGAGCTGCTTGGATTCAGGCGACGGCGGCGAAGAGAATAGTGAACGAGAGTGTCTCTTTCAGAAACGAATGCGACAGCGGTCAGAAGTCAATCGCGCAGGTCCTGGCAAATGACGCCTGGCATGTACTCGCAGAATGACAGAGGGAGTGTGTGCAAAGAGGCCCCCTCGAGGCAGTAGTAAGAAATGGTGAGGATTGGAAGAAGGAGACAACAACAAGAAGTAGAAAAACAAAGTCGGTGAGGCAGTAACAGCAGCAGCTGCAGTAGCTGCAGTAGCTGCAGCAAGAGGAGGAGGAGGAAAGCTTGACTATAGTAGTCGATGTTGCGCATCCACATGCATTGAAGAACCCAGGCTGGGGGTAGGCTCAGTCAACCCATCAATGCGCCGAGGGGACTCGGATGCGCAGCAAGTACAGTGGACGTGAACTCTGAACCAGCCAGTGAATAACACAATGTAGTGAAAGGTGTCGTCTGACTGCCTGCCTGCTTGCACAAAGGAATTAGAATATAGTGGACCAAGTTTAGAATAATATCAAGATGATCAGCACTTCAGAGACAGATACACACACGCACAGAGAGAGAGAGAGATTAGTTTTTTTGTAGATTTTGTTGTTTGTTTTTTTTTTCCCCCCTCTTCCTTGTCTTTGTTGTTGATGTCTGAGCCAAAGGGCAGTCGGCGGCGATCGACCAGCAGGCAGGTAGCAGGCCAAGTAAGTACCTACCTACCTTCCCTACCAATGCAGCCCTTGGTACAGCTAGGTCGTCAGCGCTTATTAGTCCATTGGAGAACAGAATTCAACAAGCACCAACGCAACGCCACTTGAGCAATTAACATATCAAATATGATAGTGATAATAAGGAAAACACATTGTACTTGATTTTGGTCTTCATTGTTCAGTATGTACATGTGAGAAATCATCAGGATATGCTGAATACACTCACACACTAGATATGTACACAAGGTATCCATGGATGGTATACATACCCTATCTATGTCGGGTCGGGTACCTACGAAGCTTGGATTGTACCTCACCAGCCTACAACTAACCTAGGTACGTAATTTCAATGTTCACCTTTAGCTACAAACAGACATGGCACATCCATCAAGCCTGCGCAAATCACCCGGTGCGCCCGAAAGGCTCCCGAGCCTCAGCGCCCTCCCCCCCATGTTGATCCCATCCGATCATCGATCCATCGTGGGGTAGAGACAAATATGCAGGTGGGATGCTTTTTGATTGGCTGTGATGCAATGCAACCTCCATTGCAACCTGATTGCCAGAGAAACCAGAGGAAAACAAATCATTCAAATTTTTTTTTCTTCCTTCTTCTTTCTTTTTTCTCTGCCTTGGTTGGTTGCATGGGCTTGGGGGAAATTGTTCATTCTCATCTAGTCATCCATTCAATCAAGTCTTTGAATCCATCATCAAGCAGCGAAAGCATGGTAACCTTGGGTCAAATGCCCTAATATGTCAAATGTCATTCATGTCAAGACACACACACTTTGCTCCTCCCTCTGGGTCGTGTCTCATTATCCTTGGCCTAGGTGGGTGGGGTGTCTTCAGACTATACACGGTACTAGGTATCAATGTACACACCTTGCGGCACCCGATCACCTGCACATGTGGCCCTCTCGCATCTGGGGCAACGGTCCCTGTGTTGGGCGAATGGTTCAAGCACATTGAACACCTACAGGAGGTCTACGGGTACATAGGTACAAGGAACAACCAGACAGATGAGCAGCAGAATAGACTTGAATGTCAGTCTGGCTGAAGTGTGTCAGGAACCCGGAACATTGTAACTCTAATTTTCCTTGGTTTCTTTTCTTTTTTTTTTTTTTTCCCTCCTCTGTCTTATTGGTCAACATTATTTCAAT